ATTTGTTTTAACTTTCCTTTTAAGGTTATTTATTTTTGAGAGAGAAAGTGTGAGCGGGGGAGGGGCAGAGAGAGGGAGACACAGAGTCCGACGCAGGCTCCAGGCTCTGAGCTGTCCGCACAGAGCCCGACGTGGGGCTCGAACCCATGAACCGCGAGATCACGACCTGAGCCGAAGTCGGACGCTTCACCGACCGAGCCACCCAGTAAGTTTTCTGTTTATCTTTTAAATTGATTAGCATTAAAATGTTTATGCTGCCTGGGTTTGCTTACACTCAAATAAGCTGATGTTATCCGTGACAAAATGTTTTTAAAATAATAGTAATCCATTAGGAGGGTGGCCGACTTTGGTCTCTTGAGGTTTTTACGGGGAATCTCAGTGTAATTACTAAGAACAAGTAAATCGAAGAGATGTAAAATTTTTTAATGTTTTTAGGTACAGAATTGTGGAATCGTTGCATCGCACACCTGAAACTGGTAAGACTGCGCCACGACAATTAGAGCTAAATAAAGAAAGTAACGAAAGAGAAAAGGTCTTAGGCCAAAAAAATGGTTTTTGGACAGCGTGTGATCTGATCGTTGACTGGGTCAACCCTGACGGCCGACGGGGTCGTTCTGCTTTGAAATGTCTCTTTCCCGTGTTAGTATTTGCATCCGACTTCCCGGCCGGCAGGGGTGACCCCACAGCCTGACTCTGCAGGCTGCAAGCTCTCCCTCCACACCTCCTCTCCGGCCTCCTCCTCCTCCCCAGGCAGACGGCCGGGTGCGCGAGCATCGGGCAGTCCTCAGATCCACTCGGTGTCCCCAGGGGCCATGCCGGCTTCCGCTCCCTGGAGGGGTGACCACTGGGCCGTGCCTGGTCCCTCCCCGACCTTCGGGGGGTGGGCCCTTTGCCTGTTTCCAGACCCCGGCCATGAGCTCCCTGTCTCCCAACCCCGGGCCTCTGCGCCTCTCACGTTTGCGTCACGTAGTGATGTGTGGGTGCCCACAGGGGCACGGCCTCGGGCTCGCCGTCACGTCACCTCTGTGCCATTTCTCCTGCACATGGTGCCCCGGGCGGGCTCCTCTGAGGGTCCCACAACTTCCCTCGGGTTAGCCCAAGAGTGAGCCACTGGGCCAACACTTGTGAGCCCCTCACATGTAGCGGGTGTTTTGAAAGCCCGTAAGGTGAGACCCCGAGACTAGTGTGAGGCTGGGACACCTGACAACCTCACTCTCCTTGTCCCCTTTCTCCTTCCCACAGTCTCCTCGGCCAGGGGGACAGTCAGGCTCTCTGTTTCCTCCACAGGCATGCTCCACGTCTGCACTTGACATGGCTGGGGCGCCCCGGGGCAGGCACAGACCTTGAGAGGCAGTGTCAGGAAACTTACGGAACAATTTGACATTGCGGTGGCATCCAGTGGGTGCTACCAGACTCTCTCCTTGGACGGGACACGGACGAGCCGGGTATGAGTCACACGGTCCGTGCTGAGCGTGGGTCGTGCACAGTAAAGCCGTGTGCGGGTCTGTGACAGATTGGAAACCCAGGGGGGGAGCCAGCTGGAGAGTCTGAGGAGCCCTGCTCTACGTCCCAGTCCCCTTCTGTCCCGGGTCCCCCAGCGCTGCGACCTGGCCACACGGGGGTGTGGGGGCATCCTCGCCGGAGGACGCAGAACTCTGTGATCGTGACGGTGCAACGGAGATGCACCTGTGCCAGAACATCCTGTGTTCCCTTGGCCTTCTGGCTTTCCAGAGCAATACCGACTTGACGAAAACATTCCAGTAGGGGACAAGGCTGAGTGAGCCACGCTCCGCGCAGCGGGTCATAGGCCGGTCGGGCCGGCTGGGGGAGAAGGTCAGGTGCACGGGAGTACAAAGGATACATATATATAGTTTGAAACGTCTCTTTTACGTGTATCTCCACCCAGTCCGAGATACGAAAGCTGTCCTCACCCAGGGACCTTGGTAGAAAACGGATGACAGTGTGGACTTTCGCTGCCGGCAGCGACATTCTCTGTGTAAACAAGCAATTTCATCCCAAAGGCCCGCTTCCCAGCTCTCTTTGAGCGGCCTTTCCGCCGTGATGGGCCTGCGGGGGTCAGTCCCGGCTCCCTCCAGCATGCGGGCGAGGGCTGCGGTCCTAACTTCCTGAGAGTCATACTTGGGCACGTCTCTTGTCCCCTTGGGAAGCAGACGAGGCATCGGACCTGAAAACCACCCACGCCGCCAGCCCCGACACGCGGAGAAGACGCGGCACCCTGAATTCACCCGGAGTTTATGGCATCTTTCCCCGTGTCAACCACAAAACACAAAACAAATTCCGTCTGATCCAGCAACTCAGCGACGCACCTGAAGGCAACCCCAGGCTCCCGAGGAGGACGCGTCATGTGCACGGACGGCACGCCCGGCCGGTGGGGGTGGGGTGGGTGGCGACTGACGAAACCAGGAGCCCCCCATCTCTGGACCTCGGGACCACGGCTTCTGGTACGCCGTGTTTTCAAAGAAATGGGTCCATTTTATCTCCATTGTCCAACTTCCTGCGAGAACCTGTTCATGCTTCTCTCTCAGCATTTTCCAACGTCTTGAGAATCCACTGCAGCGATGCCTTGGGAGTCCCGATGGGGGCAACCTGCACGTTCTTTCCGTTTTCTACACCGGTTCACGAGTTTCCGTGATATTTTCTTTTCCTCAAAATTTATCTATTTATTTGTTTATTTGTTTATTTAGAGAGCCAATAGGGGAGAGTCAGTGAGACAGAGAGAGAACGAGAGAGAGTCCTAAGCAGGCTCCACACTGTCAGCACAGAGCCCGACACCAGGCTCAATCCCGTGGCCCTGGGATCATGACCTGAGCCGACATCAAGAGTTGGATGTTAACCGCCGAGCCACCCAGGCGCCCCCATTGATGGTTTCAAAAAGCTCACTCCAGGCTTTATTGTACATTGGCTTTCTATGGGATTGATTTCTACCCTCACCTTCCCTGTGCCCTTCCTTTGGTTTTCTTTGGGTTTTCTTTGCCGTTCTTTTTCTGGTTGACTCTGTTGGAAGCGTGCATCCCTTGAGGCTGGACCTGCCTCCTCTCCCAACTGACACACACAGAACTACACCCTCCCCCATGGTACTGCTCCGACGTGGGCTCGACGTACTTTCTAATTTACGTTGTGATTTCTCTGTGACCCATGGGTGGTATCTATTTCTTTATTATTTTTTAAATGTTGATTTATTTTTGAGAGAGAGAGAGAGAGAGAGAGAGAGACAGAGCACAAGTGGGGGAGGGGCAGAGAGAGAGGGAGACACAGACTCCGAAGCGGGCTCCAGGCTCTGAGCTGTCAGCACAGAGCCCGACACGGGGCTCGAACCCACGACCTGTGAGATCACGACCTGACCCAAAGTTGGATGCCCAACTGACTGAGCCCCCAGGCGCCCCTAAGAGTGTCTTGCTGGGGCACCTGCGGGGCTCAGTCGGTTGACTGTCCGACTGTTCGGCTCAGGTCATGATCTCATGATTTGCGAGTTTGAGCCCTGTGTCAGGCTCACTGTGGTCAGCACAGAGCCTGCTTCAGATTCTCTGTCCCTCTCTCTCTGCCCCTCCCCCTGTTCGTGTTCCCTTTCAAAAATAATAAAAAAAAAAATTAAAAAAATAGGAAATAAATGTGTATTACTTATTTCCCAAACATCTAGAGCGATACGTTCCTGGGATTGATACCTAGTGTCATTCCACTCCAGAGGCTGGTCCCTACCTCTCCGTGTCTGCCCCACAGTCTCCAACAGGGCGTTCTCTCAGTCCCTAAGGGGCAAGGACCCCGGTCCTCGGTGTTCCCTCGATGTACCTGACGCACTTGGCCCCTCCAAGCCTCAGCTGGGAGACGGAAAATCGGGAGACACAGACCTCACTACCCTGTCTTGTACCAGCCTCCGCCATGTTCGTCCGGCCTTTCGTTCCTTCCCCTGGGCCAACGCGTCCTTCTCGAATGCAGCTAACATCTCATTAAGGACGTGGGCAAAGCTCTAAGCCACAGCAGAAATTTATGCGCCAATGCCTCTACATCGGTTTGTGATATGCTAACTAAAAAAGGAAATAGGGGAGCTTGGAAAATTTTCTTCTCAAGCAAATAACCTGACTCGCAAGGCTATTATCCTGCTGCATAGTCATATTTTTGATTGTCAGGAACCGACTATTAGCATGGCCTTTCTTCCCGCACGCCCGCTGGAGCATTCTGACCCGCTCCCAGGCAGGCTGTTACTTTGGATGAAGGTCGCACACCCGGGGACGGGAAAGAGAAAAGCCCACGAAGTTTCGCGGGAAGATTTCCCACCTTACAACAAGAGAGCGGGTCTGCGCGCGGTGAGGACAGCGGCTGCTGGTGTCCGGGCACAATTCCAGTTTGGAGAAGGGTCCCAGGTGGGAGCAGTGGCAGTGGGGTTGCTATGGTTACCAGGCTAAGCCGCTTCCCTTTCTCAGGGGCCTGAGGATGTGGGGCTTCTGGGGCCACAGTGGGCCGGGGGCAGGGGGACCCAAGGGGTTCTGGGGAACGCGAGTTCCTGTGTTTGGAGGGACGGGCGTGGGGGCGGTCAAGCTACAGGAATGGGTGGAATCTGACCGCGACATTGAAGGCCCAGACGTGCAGTCGGCCAGCGGAGAGGTGCCGAGGCTGTGAGCTCGGGTGGTGGCGGGACAGATGAGCAGTGTGGGAGCAGGAGGGGGGATGCCTGGTTCCGGGCACCCCCCCTTCCCTGGGTGTCCGAGGGGTCACACGCTCCCCTTCGTCCTAGACCGGACCAGACATTTCTAGGAAATGAAGCTAACCTTTCTTTCTTTCTTTCTTTCTTTCTTTCTTTCTTTCTTTCTTTTTTTATTCTTCATGTTTATTTTTGAGAGAGAGAGAGACAGACAGAGCATGAGCAGGGTCGGGGCAGATACAGAGGGAGACACAGAATCCGAAGCAGGCTCCAGGCTCCGAGCTGTCAGCACAGAGAGCCTGACGCGGGGCTCGAACCCACGAACCGTGAGATCGTGACCTGAGCCGAAGTCGGACGCTTCACCGACCGAGCCACCCAGGTGCCCCCTAACGTTTCTACTTTGATTGCCATTTCATTTGCGCCCTATATAATTGCTGACCTCTTGCATTAGTAAACACCGACGACCAGCCTTTCACAGAGCTTTTAAACGGAAAAATATCAAGCCTTGTCGTCCAGACCATGACATCGGGTTGAGGGCGAGGGCAGGCGAGCTGTGAGCCCCGCAGAGCAGGGCCGAACAGCAGCTCTTTCTCAAGCCGCCCTTCTCAGACCGCTGAGGCCTCGGGCACAGGGCCCCCCGGACCTGTGCCGCTAACTGTGCGCCCGCCCCACCCCCCCAAAACACAACCAACAGCCTCGGCAGGAAGCTCCTTTCATAGTCAGTGTGCAGGCCGTCCAGGTCTTCCCGGCGGAGTTCAAGCCCAGCGCCCTCCCCCGTGGAAACAGCAGGTGACGGCACCCCGCGCGCTTGTTAGGACAGCCACGTGGCTGAGCTCACGTCCCGGAACACAACGTCCAGGCTCAAATTCCCGCCACGCGTGTGACACCACACGGTGATAGAGTTTTTTCAAGTCTCGGTTTCCTTGCCTTTAAACTGGGGATAGTGATTCCCCCATGAACTTGCTGGATCTGTGACAACAGATGGGGACAGACGTCGAGAGTGCTTAGCACAGTACCCGACACAGAGTAGACACGCGGTGCAAATGTCGGCTGTTGTTTTATGTTTGATTGGACGGCTCCCCTCGCAGGACTCGGTCCCCCAAGTGGGCTGCGCTCGTCCTTCGGCCCGCAAACCCTGCCGGGCTCTCGGTGGCGGCTCCCCCCAGAACACAGCCAATCACACAGCCAATCACTGGGTACCCTCTGCCAAGGGGACACCCCATGCTGACCTGATCCCCCTTGGAACATGTCCCTGCACCCAGAGATCAGAGGCTAAGCTGCTTCCCCCCCCCCCCCAGTAACTCAGAGTGGCAGGGGTGAGCTGCGACACACGGGCGTGGTTGTCCCCGAGAGTGACTCACCTCCCTGAAACTCCAAGGCGGGCGGCCGCAGGGGCCCCGCAGTTCCTAGCCGCGGGACTCCTCTGGACGCGCAGGGCCGGCCTGTGGGTTCTGCAAGGGCTTGGGAAGGGGGTCGCCGTCACCGGGCTCCCCGCCCACCCCTCCACCCCTCCACCCCCATAAACAGAGGAAAGGGGTGTCCCTCGGGACAGGAGCCAGTCTGCTGTGGAGAAGCCGAAGGACCCTGAGCAAGCCACGGGGTCTGCTGTCCTCACCCCAAAATGAGCAGGTTGTCTCGGGGGCCGCGGGCCTCCTGTGCAGGGTGGCACGCATCAGACAACGGGGGACCCCCAGCCTTCAGTGCATTGACGGGCCTCCTGGGGACAGGGCTGGGGGCAGGGCAGGTTCTGGACACCTGACACTGGGAAGCCGCTCCTGTGAGATCGGGGCAATAAATCACTAAACATTTTTGTTTTGTGGTTTTGTTTTAATTTTTTTAATGTCTATTTATTTTTGAGAGAGAGAGAGACAGAGCGGGGGGCTCGAACTCACGGACCGTGAGATCATGACCTGAGCCGAAGTCGGATGCCCAACCGACTGAGCCACCCAGGCGCCCCAAAACATTCCTAAACGAAGCCAACAAAACCCAAAGTTTGGCTTTTGCCGGAAGATTGACAAGACTTCTGTTTTCTGTAGGGGTGATTTTATAAAACTAGTTGAAATAGAAAGAGATCAAATGTTATGCAGCTGGGTCAGTGGTTAATTTTTTTAAAAGTTAATATTTTTATAAATTTTGTGACACCTGTGGTCGCTTTAAAAACATTCTTAAGTGTCTTTATCTATTTGGAGAGGGAAAGAGCACACGCGTGAGGGGGGGAGGGGCAGAGAGAGAGAGACACAGAATCCCAGGCCGGCTCCAGGCTCTGAGCTGTCAGCACAGAGCCCGACACAGGGCTTGATCTCATGAACCCTGAGATCATGACCTGAGCCGGGATCGAGAGCCCGACACTTAATCAACCGAGCCACCCAGGCACCCCTCTTTCTTTTTTAATTAAAGAATGTTTAGATGATTTTAGTGCTTGCAATTTGCCGTGATATATTTTCTCATTCTAAATAAAGACTGACTTTCGTGCTTAGTTTTGTTTTCATAACTTTGACCTGCTTTGTTAGGGAGGGTTCCCGTGCTGCAGACACTTTCGGGCTCAGGAAGCCTGGGTCTGGCCCGTCCTCCTGCCCCGGGGGCGACTAAGTTCTCCCTCGCTAGACCTTCCTCGTTTCCGTGCCTGTCCCGCCAGGCGACCCGGGCCGGGTCGTGGCTGGGATCCCCGCACGAGCTGCCCCGCGAGCCCGCGATGTTAGACTGAACCACCCGCTCGACGTAAGGCCGCACCGCCCGCCAATCCCTGCCTCTTGCACACGACAAGCTCCCAGCTACGGAATCAGTGGAAAGTCTCCCTGTGAAGACTTCCTTCCGGAAGTGCTGAGAACTTTCCAGACATCTGTTAAGGGGAACGGGATTCTAGAAGCTAATTTGTTTCCTTGACTCACTGAATGAAGCTCTTTAAAATGCATCTGTTTATTGGAGACACTTTGTACAAGACAGAAAAATCAGTGGCAAATGTCACATTTAAATGAGAACAGATCCAATGAATAAAAGCTCAGGCGGCCGTTAACGAGGGACATTATTTTGTTGTAGGCAGCACAGGATCCTAAGTCAAGGACACGCGGGGACACAGAGAAGTCCCCAGGAGAAACCTGGCTTCCTTGCTTTTCTGTCCTGCTGTGTGCCAGGCCCCGAGGGCATCCTGCCGGGGAGACAAGCCCCGCAGGGTGAAAAGCGCCCAAAGACAGCAAATGCCAGCTGCCGTGCCCAGAATCCTGACACTGGCATTGTGCCACACAGCGTGCGCCCGAGGTGCCCTCGCCGAGGACTCGGGACGGAGTCACGGTGCCCCTGCTTTGGAAACAAAGACACGAGGTCAGGACCCAGCCAACGGCCGCTGACAGGGGCAGGCGGGAGCTGAGAGCTCATCTGTGGGCAGCAACGCCCTGGGTACCAGGGCTCCCCCCCCCCCCCGGTGCCCATGGCGGGAGGAGCCCCCACAGACTTTGGAGAAGTCTCCCCACTCTGGGGGCAGTGGGTTTTGGGTGGAGGCGGGGATTTGCCGGAAAGGCATTCCTGTTTGAACGGGACAGACTTCCCAAGGCCCTGGGCACTCCAGGCAGAGGACGAGTCTTTGCTCCCCTCCCCTCCCCTACCCCTCCTACCCTCCAATTCTTCCCCTCCCCTCACCTCCCTGCCACCTGTCCCTCCTTCCCCTCCCTCCCCTCCCCTGCCCCTCTTCCTTGCCTCCCGCCCCTCCCTCCCTCCCCTCTCCTCCTCCCTTCTCCCCTTCCTACCTTCTTTTCTTCTTTTCTCATGGATTATGCTATCACCCTATTTCTCAAAGACAATATGGGCTTTTCCTGTCTTCCGTGCCCTTGTTCACACAGACCCACCCTCTGCCTGGAGAGCCGACTCCCCTCAGGGAATCTTTCAGGTCAAGTTCAAACATCACCCCCTCTGATCTGAAGTGAAGACCCCCCCCCCTTTGGGCTGTGACCCTCGGCCTCAAGTGTGAGTTGTGCTCAGACACAGGAAGCTTCAGCAGCCGGGAGCCCGTCTCCTCCCCCTCCCCCTCCTCCTCCCAGTTTGAGGGCCGGGGCCCCCCCCCCCCGCCATTCGCCACCCCTTCTCCGTCTGGGTAGAGCGGGCAGTGGGCGCTCAGTGGACACCCACAGTGAGGACAGCAAGTCCCGCTCGGCTCCCATGCTTGTGCACTGTCTGGGGGCCGAACAGGCCCTCGCGGCTGTAGGGCCGGGGGGGCCTCTGCACCCACCCGCCCCCTCCACCCGCAGCAAAAGCAAAGCCAGGGCGTCTAGAATATCAGGGTGTTCGGTCACCCAGCCCGGCGCCCCCTCCTGGAAGCCTGCCGAGCACAGACTGGGGAAGGAGGGGTGGAAACACCAAAGTCATTTCTCCCCCACTTGCTAGTGAGGCCCCGGGCCTCCCTGTGCGTTGCTTCGTAGTCTAACGCTCTTTGTTCCGGAAGCAGGCCCGTGCGGTGGCCCGAGCGGGGACTAGCGTTGCTGACGGAGAGCTCAGCGAGCTCAGGGCCTGAGAAGGCTCGGGCCCCGAAAGAGAGACAGAGATGGCCACTCTGCGTGCCCGTCCCCTCTGCTTCGAGGCAGGGAGGGGTCCCAGAGCGAGCGCCTGCCCCGAGGAGGTCCCGCACTCCGTGCCTCGGGGACTTGGTGGCACAGCGGACACCTCTGAGATCCGAAGGGACTCCCCTGGCCCATGGGCGGCTCCGCGAGGCCGGGGAAGAAGTCAGGAGCGTCAGGAAGCCTTGGCACGGAGGCCCCAGGGTCCCGACAGCCCCGGGGCAGGAAGGGGAGGCCAGGGCACGGCCCCTCCAGAACAGCCCCGAATGGTCTGTTGTCTCGGCTGGGCCTCCGCGGGACCTCATACCCCACCGCACGATGCCAAGGTCACGAGGCGGCCCCCCTCTGCGGCACCGGGCAGGCGCGTTACGTTTGGCCCACACGACGGCTTGAAGCGGAATTTTGTTTTAATTTTTAAAAATCGGCCGTTGGCAGAGTTTACATAAAATTCAGCATTTCTGCTCTTGCACGGTTCTCCGAGCTGGCGACGCGGTGCCTCTCTTTCTGCTTGGCCACGCGCAGCTGGAGCTCTGCTGGCGGTGCCCCCTTCCGACCGGAAGGTCAAGGGCGTTGGATCTGTGGCCACCGAGCCGCGGCTTCCACCTGCCCAGCCCTCAGACTGCTCTCAACCTCCTCGCTCAGGAAGGAGGCCGAGCACAGTGCATTTGCCCGCCTCCCTTGACCGCCACCCGGACCGATCCGGTGGGTTCGGCCAGCGAGGCCGCCCTGGGAGCCGCTGTGGCCGGGTGAACGCGAAGTCAGACGTCTTCAAGGGATGGCACCAAGGCAGGCTACCGGCCAGGGGGGCCCCGCACCTGCCCGCCGCCACGGTGGCGAGCACTCTGGAATGCTCTCCGGAGCCCCGAAGGCCAGGTGTGCACAGCGGGTTGGGTGGTGAGGGCTGGGGCGGGTGGAGCCCAGCGGCGGCAGCCGATGCCCGGGACCAAAGGCTAGCGCTCCGCTGTCGGGCTGGGTGGGTAGGGACAGGTTAGGAGAATCCAGACTATTCGGCTTTATCATCGCCCTTCCCTTCCCACAAAATGGCAGGTGCAAAAGCGTCTCTCTCCTTGCCCCTCACGCGTAGATAATGCCTCCGACGGAGCACCCGGAAGGCGCGGTCCAGACGTCGGACACTGGCCGTCCCAAACTGCGCTTGGCTCAGCAGTCACCGGTGGGGAGGCCTGGTGGCTTTCTGTTCCTCCTCACGTAACGCCTCAGAGACCCCACCTCTCGGGGTGGGTTGTATAGACGGTGCCGTGAATGTGGAGGGGCGTCTCTGTGCATGTGGGTACAGCGGCGGGTCTGTGGGCACGGCGGCGGGTCTGTGGGCACGGCGGCGGGTCTGTGGGCACAACAGCGGGTTTGTGGGCACGGCGGCGGGTCCGTGGGCACGGCGGCGGGTCCGTGGGCACGGCGGCGGGTC